CTCTTTGCAGTCTAGTGGGAGATCTTGTCATTTTACCTGTCCCGGTGGGGAAACAATGAAAAGAGTTTTACTTGTTGTTCAGACATACTGAATCTCAAGTAGGTAGGTTGTTTGCTACAAGAGGTTCAGAATGGATTCAATATTTTTGGTCAGAAATATTCTCCAAGAGGGAGTCTTTCTAGTTACACTGGACTTAAAGTGACATTAAACCCTCAGATTTTTTAACGTAAACCAATACTGTAATGTGTGCCTTACTGTAATCCATGGTTGTTTCCCTTCGCTTTGCTGCTCTTCCTTTTAAATCTGTATCTGTTCTCATGCTGGGCAGAACTTCTGTTTTGCAGCACACTGCCTTGTCTCTGGAATGGATACCTGGTGTCTGTGTGTAGGTTTGCAACCTGAGCCAGCACTACAGGAAGGGGCACTCAGCTGCAAAGGGAAGTTCTGCCCAGCATGAGAACAGATACAGATTTAAAAGGAAGAGCAGCAAAGAGAAGGGAAACAACCATGGATTACAGTATTGTTTTATGTTAAAAAATCTGAGGGTTGGGGGGCGGAGCTTGCTAATGGCGGCGGCTAGACGTACTCGTCCTTAGCTCCGCAAAACCGGACCGGGCATCGGCACTAAAGTGCCTCAGCAACGCTCATGATGGGCTCCAAGAGGGGCAAAAAGTCACAGGGCTCCAAGCCGGACCGCGCACGGACCCCGAGAGCCGCGATCTCCAGCTTCTTTGCGGCCCCGGCATCTACCCGATCTGCAGGCCGCACGGCGGCCCCACGTGGAGTCTCACCAGATGGCCCTGACTCACCCTCCTCCCAGCCAGCCGACATGTCTCCCGTCCTGGCGGACCCAGAGGCTTCCTCTGATGAGGATTCGGTCCAGGATGGGTCCACAGGGGATGTCAGGCGTCTGCTGGATCACCTCCCCTCCAAACGGGACATGGAGACCCTGTTTGCTCGGTTTGAGCATATGCATAGGACGGACGTGGCTGGCCTGCATGATGCTATCAAGGGGGTCCACAAACGTCTGGATACAGTGGATCTGCATTTGGATACCCATCGCATGGCCATCAATGCACTACAAGCTACAGCTTTAAACCAACATAAGCTGCTGCAGTCTGTGTGGACACACATGGATGACGCTGAAGATAGGAATCGGAGGAACAACATTAGAATTCGCGGCCTGCCGGAAGCGACGGGGACGTCGGACCTGGAACCCACTGTCAGAGGTATCTTTAACTCACTACTAGCTAGAGGAGCGACGGACCCTATCGACCTTGACAGGGTGCACCGAGTCCCGGGATACCGCAATCCTGCGTCGCAACAGCCCAGGGATGTCTTATGTCGCGTCCACTTCTATAAACTGAAGGAGGAAATTATGTCCAAGGCCCGGGATCGGGGATCCATTGACTTCGACGGAGCAGCCATTACATTCTTCCCTGACCTGTCGCCCCGCACCATGGCTCGCCGCAGGGCTCTGCGCCCCCTTACAGCGTCCCTGCGGGACCGTCACGTCCCTTACAGATGGGGATACCCCTTCCACCTATCGGTGCGTCATAATGGTCGACTGGTGATTCTACGCTCCCCGGCGGATGTGGCGGGATTCACAGCAGCACTAGGAATCCCCGCGGTGGAACTGGACCCATGGCCGGACCCCCCGGCTCCTGTGCTCCCTGAGGTCCCCTCACTACCCCAATGGACTGAAGTCTCCCACTCTAAGAAATCGCGGAGAGATTTCCCCACTCGCAGCTCTCTACCTTAAAGATGATGGATGGATGCCGCTACCTCAACCCTGCGTGAGGATTAAATACGTGATTCCATCTGTGTATCCCCGTGTTTTAGGAGCTGAATGTATCTATATACATGCATATGCCTATCTCTCGCGATGGAGTGTATTTACGTGACTCTATATTACATTGATCTCCATGTTTACATGTCTTTCATGTTAATTGTGTTTAAAACCCTTAATAAACACTTATTATTTAAAAAAAAAAATCTGAGGGTTTAATGTCACTTTAAGGATGGTTACCTGCACATCCCGATAAATTTTTCCTGAGGGTGGCAGTCAGGATGGGGAAGCAAGTCCAGCATTTTCAATTCAGATCTCTGCCCTTTGCTCTCTTCAGCCCATCGTATCTTTACGAAGGTTCTAGGGGAAGCCCTGGCCCCTCTAATATTACAAGGCATCAGCATAATTCCTTATCTGGACGATCTCATATTTGCGGCTTCTCATAAGCTTCTTGCTCATCTGTCAAACACACAGGATTTGGCTACAGAGTTTGGGATGGCTCATAAAGGTCCAGAAATCGAATTTCATTCCCTCACATGTTTCAACTTTCCTGAGTTATGTTATAAACATGGTGGAGAAGAAAATCTATCTTCCACCAGAGAAGATACTGAAGGTCTCAGACTCTGTTTTCCAGCTTCAGGAGAACCAACCTAGATCAATACGGTTTATCATGTCAGTCCTGGGCCAGATGGCTTCATGCTTTCCAGTGGTGCCCTGGGCCCGCTTCCACCAAAGGAGGTTATAGAATTTTCTCAAGAATTTGGGACAAATCTCTGGTGTCTTTGGACCTGGAGATTGTAGTTCCAACAAGTGTGGTGGGGGAGGTCGAGAATTCCAGCTCATGAGGCTGGGGATACCAGCTCATGAGGCTGGGGAGCTCACCTTGAAGACTCTATGGCTAAGGGGCAATGGGACAGAAAAGAGGCAGAAGCCTCTTAAAATTGGAAAGAATTAAGGGCAGTACTCTCTTAGCTTTTCAGGACTCGATCAGGGATGGCCACCTTTAGATTTTGTTTGGACAATTCCACCTCCCATTTTTGTACCTCAACAAACGGAGGTACGAAAAGCCCATTTTTGCAGGCCTTTTCAGAGGAAATATTCTCTTGGGTGGATAACCACCTACTATCCTTGACAGCGGTACATTTAAGGGGTTCCCTAAACAACCCAGCAGACTTAAGTCAACACCAGATTCAACAAGAGGAATGGTGCCTGAATCAGGAAATGTTTAATTTTCTGGTGGAAAAGTGGGGGATGCCAGAAATTAATCTATGTGCCTCCCATCTAAACACATAAGTTCCAACATTCTTTTCTCTTATCCCAACAAATTCTTTAGCACTAGATGTATTGACAAATGTTTGGGATTTCAAACTGACATGGATTCCCCCCCTCCATCCACTTGCTGCCGAGAGTCATACTAAAGTTTTGCATGGAAAAAAACCGAGCTTATTTTGATAGCTCCCTTTTGGCCAAAGAGAGCCTGGTTCTCTCTACTTTAGTCCCTGGCATCTCACCCTCCTTGGAGGTTACCATACAGAGCATATTGAATCCACCAGGGGTTCCTCCATCCAAAATTGCAGAATTTACAGCTATCAGCGTGGTAGACCCTGAAAGTTCAAATTTCTGCTTTAAGTGTGTATTGTCAAACTAAACTTGCAGATGATCCATTGATTTCTAGGTTTTTTTAGGGCCTCATCAAGTTTGAGGCTGGTAACTGTTAAAACAATCCCGTAATGGGACTTTGCTCTTGTCCTTCAGTCCTTAACATGTTCTCCGTTTTGAGTCTTTATTAGACATCTCCAAGTTCCTTACTCTTACGACTTCCTTATTAATTGCTATTACTTCACCTAGAAGGATTAGTGAATTACAAGCACTTTCAATTAAGATGCCCTTCCTTACTATTTTTGAGGATAGAGTTGTACCTAACGTACCTTCCACTTTTCACAGGTCACAAGAAATTAATTTACCAACATTTTGTAGTAAAGCTTCTAATGACAAGTAACTAGCGTTTTCTAATATAGACATCAGGCGCCCCCTTTTTTAGCTTACCTGGAAGCAACAAAAGATTTCCAATCCTCCAATGCTCTTTTTGTTTTATTCTTATGGAAATATAACAAGCTTCTGAATCTACAATTGCTAGATGGATTAGGTTGGCTATTATTGAAGCTTATAATTCTGAAGGGGTGCCTCCACCACCTTTTAATCAATGCTCATTCTACCAGGGTGTTGGCGACCTCTTGGGCAGGAGCAACACCAGAGCAGCTCGGTAAAGCAGCTCCTTTGACTAGCCTCTCCACATTTTTCAGGCTTTACCACCTGGATCTCCTTTTCAAGCCAAGATCAGGCATTGGGAAGCAAAGTATTAAAGGCTGTGGTCCCCTCCTAACCTGGTAAGTTTTTGTTTAAAAAAATAATAGAGGCTGTCCTCGATGTATAGGGAAAACCGGAGATAGACTTACTGGTAGCTCCTTTTTTCCCAATAGTCTTCCATGGCAGCCTGCTTCCCACCCTTGCTTTAAATGTTGATGTTATTGGTGGTGTTCTGTTGTGTTCTATTTTTTAGATCCGCCTTTTGGTTCTTATGTTAACCAAGGACTACAGGAGGCGGTCTTTTATTGGAATTTGATGTGTTTCCTGTCTGGTGGGAGGAGCATGTATATCTGAGGCTGACCGGGAAGAATATTGGAAAAAGAGCTACCGGTAAATCTATCTCTGGGTTTTTGTAGCATTCCCCAGATCTGTGCCTTGCACTAATCCAGTCTCTAAACTCTGCATGCAGTTTCTTTTGACCTTCATGGCTTTTGCTCTGATACAGTATGCATTGTCAGCTGTGAGCATTGTCAGCTGTGAGCATTGTCTTCTATAGAGAGGTATGTGTCTTTCCAAATGTCCAATCAATTTAATTTACAACAGGAGGACTCCAATCAAGGTGTAGAAACCTCTCTGCAATGATCAAGAGAAATGGAAGGCACCTGAGCTAAATTTCAAATGTTGCTGCAAAGGGTCTGAATACTTGGGCCAATGTGATATTTCAGTTTTTTCCTTTTTCATACATTTGCAAACATTTCTAAAATTCTGTTTTCACTTTGTCATTATTGGGTACCGAGTGTAGATTGAGGGGGAAAAAAAGAATTTAAACTTTAGTATCAGGCTGCCCTATAATAAAATTGAAGAAAAATAAAGTTATGTTTTTTTTAAATGTCTTCATCTCCAGGCAGCCAACTATTTGGATATCAAAGGATTGCTTGATGTCACCTGCAAAACAGTGGCCAACATGATTAAAGGCAAAACACCAGAAGAAATCAGAAAGACATTCAACATAAAAAATGACTTTACCGAAGAGGAAGAGGCACAAGTAAGATTATTTATTTTTCTGTCAATGTTTTTATTGAAAGTTTTATAATGAACATACATAGTAAAGGGAATGGTTTACAATGCTTCATTACAGTAAGTGGATGTAGCAACAAAGAGGTTACTTGCAAGTGACTACATTTTAAATTAAGCAGTCGTAGGGTAGGGAGGTTTCACAGTCATAATCGTGCTTTATGATTACAGCAGGTGTGATAGCTGTGTACTAAGGCTAGACTGCCCTCCTCACCAGTTAAACTTCATCAGTAACCAAGGGTGGGGGAAGGTCCCCAAAGAACATATTACATGAGAAGAGGGAGTAGAAAAGTCCTAAGAGTGATGATAATGACAGGCGTACCTACATCACTCAAAGGGGAGAGGGGGTTTGGGGTTGGGGTCCACAGTTTGCTAACACTGACCATCTCCATGAGTAATAGAATCTGCACGTTCCCATCCCATAGCCCACATCCGTCTGCTTTCCCTTTCAGCATCAGATGCCTCGATAACTCCTGGGGTCCATGTCAGGGTGACGAGATGAGAGCCATGGTTCCCAAACACTTCGAAATTTAGAATGTTTATCCTCCAGAATGCTAGATAGTCATTCGTTAAGCATGATATTAGTAAAAACAAATCCAAAGCACTAAATTTGACCAACAGATTAAATGGTACAAACAAGGTTGACTAGGAGTGCTGCCCCACTTCAGCTTGGGAAGCTGCAACACTGAGGGAAAAAGAAAAGATAAGGGCGGCCACCCTAGTGTAGAGGGTTTTAATTATTATGAGTAAAAATACAGAGTAAAAACATACTCACAAAAGTGGATCAATAAAAACGAGCCTATGCGATAACTGTAGAATGGCTGCACATATGCCTGTGTGTCAGCACGGGACTCCTGTGATGACGAAGGCGGCGTGGCCCCGGAAACGCGTCATCACAGAGTCCCGTGCTGACACACGGGCATATGTGCAGCCGTTCTACAGTTATCGCATAGGCTCGTTTTTATGCTTTGTTTTTACTCTGTATTTTTACTCATCATTAAAACCCTCTACACTAGGGTGGGCGCCCTTCTCTTTTCTTTTTCCCTCAGTTAAGCATGATATTGTCTAATCTGTTGGCAAATTCCCTGTATGGTAGTTGTTGCTTCTTCCAGTTGCCAGCCAGCGTCAACTTGGCAGCTAAGAAAATTAAGTTTGCCAAAGCCCGTTGAGGCTTAGTTAGGCCGGGTATAGACAAGTGGAAGAGGGCATATTGGAAATCTTATCAGTATATACGTGCCAAAAAGAGAGCCCGTTAGTTTGAATATCCTAACCCAGAATCTAGTGGCAAATGGACATCTCCACCAAATATGTTACATAGCCCCCGTTTCCCGACATCCCCGAAAACAAGTACTCGAGGATGTGGGGAACAAGCGAGCCACTCTGGCTTGGACTAAATACCACCTCATTACTACCTTATAGGCCACCTCAGCATTTGTAACGTTGATTGAGCATTTCACAATATTCCGCCACATTTGTTGCCATTCCTTCAAGGACCATTGTTGTCGTAGTTCCCCTTCCCATCTTCTGACATAGGTGTGGGTAGTATGACTAACCAACCTGTTCGGTTGGGAGTAGAGAATCGTTATAAGACATGAGCCTTCCGGGGAGTGAAGACATATGTGTTTAAAACATGTAAATAAATTATTTGGATCCCTCCTCTTATCCAGAGTGGAGATCCAGTGGTGGAGTTGGATATACCAGAAGTATTCGATCCCCGGTATTTGTGTTGCCTCAGATAGTGTCAGGAAGGAATGGCAGAGGAGCGTACAGAATCGTGCACTATACGAAACCTGTTGTTTGTCCACCAACCAAAAGTATTAGGGCAATCCAGACCCGGCCTGAAAAGTGGTTGGGCAAACAAGGGGAGTAGCGGCAGGTAAGGGGAAAACAAGTTCGCTGAATATTAAGAGTCCCATACCTTCAGTGTATGCACCATCAGGGGACCTAAGGTCTTAGGCCTATCACAGGGCGGTATCCAGGGCAATGCAGTAAGAGGCACAGGGGAACAGTTTGGGATTTCCAGCATAAGCCAGAGGGGAGGCGTCCTACGTTGATGTATAGTTATCAATGGTAGAAGTTGAGCGGCTTGATAATAAAGTAGTATATTGGGGAGACCAATTCCCCCGTCGTTTTTGTGTTTGTAGAGAGTAGCACGTGCTACCCTAGCCTTGAGGGGATGCCATATAAACTGGAGGATACTCCGCTGCAGTGAACGCATAGCATAAGAGGGTATGTGCACCGGCAAGGTTCTTAAGTGATACAGGAGTTTGGGCAAAAGCGTCATCTTAAAGGAGAACTATGGGGTTAGAGCTTTTCCCCATAGTTCTCCTTAGGGTAACGGGAGGACACAAACTAGCGTCCTCCTGTCACCCTAAGCTCAGTATACCGCGAGCTAAAGCTCGCAGTATACTGAGATGCCGCAACTGAAGCGGATCCCGACAATTATGTCTGGATCCGCCCAGCTGCGTGAGTGACAGCTGGCTCTGCCTATCTAGAGGCAGAGCCACCTGTACCCGCCCCCTCCCCCGTCCGTTCCGCCAGTCAGCGCTGGAGGATCGGAGCAGGGAGGGGGGAATCCAGTCCCTCCACTGTCACGGCAGAGAGCCGTGACAGGATCGAGAATGAACGAACGCCGGTATGTGTTCGCTCACTTCCCGATCTACTGAGCTGACCTGTGACAGTTTCATTGTCACAGGTCGGCTAGAACTATGAGGTTGAGTCAAAAGCACTAACCTCATAGTTCTCCTTTTTAACTGCTGAAACTTTACCCAGCCATGAGAGATTATGAGCTGTTTCAGGGTTTTGAATAATGGCACGTAAATAGGTGTCATATAGGTGTCAAGGTGTCATATGAGGCCATAATTTTAATACCTAGATAACGTATGAAGGAATTTGCCCAGGCAAACGAGAAATGGGTAGTAAGGTGCTCATACATAGGTGCGGGAAGAGTTACGTTTAAAGCAGCTGATTTTTCCCAGTTAACCGATAACCCGGAGATGGAGAATCGTTGTAGGAGTTCAAGCAAGTTGGACTGTGGTGTGCGGCTGTTTCAGATTAAGTATGACGTCAGCGAAAAGGCTAGCTTTATATCCCACCCCCGCCATTTCGATACCTTTTAATGTTGGGATTAGAGCAGAGGAAGATGGCCAGGGGTTCAATTGCCAGTGCAAAGTAGGCTGGAGATAGTGGGCAGCCTTGGCGCGTTCCCCTACGGATTGGAATTTCCCGGGAAAGGTGACCTAGGTATTTCACCTGGGCCATCAGAGCAGAGTAGAGGATCCGCAGCCACATCAAAAAGGAGTCTCCAAGATTTTAAAGTCAATGTTAAATAAGGATATAGGCCTATAGTTATTGGGGTGCAGTGTGTCCTTGTCAGGTTTGGGTATCATTGAAACATACGCTAAAATTGAAGAGGGGTGTAATTTGTGGCTCTGTCGATGGGAGTTATACATCAGGGCTAATTTAGGAGCCAAAAGGTGTTCAAGCTTTTTATAAGAGTGCTGAGAATCCATCAGGGCTGGGGCCCTTGGACGATTTAAGATTTTTAATAGTCAGGAGAATTTCCTCTATGGGAATATCCGAATTGAGGTGGTCCAGGTCAGCCTGTGCAATCTGTAGGAGTGTAACGTCCTGTAAGATGCCTGCCTTTTCCGTGTGGAAAGTGCGAGATTTAGCGTAAAGAGAGGTAAGGTTGTCATGGAAGGACGTTGGAATCCTTTCAGGATTTGCTGAGATGGTGCCATCTGGGGTACTCAGACGGATGGGCGGCGGTCTAACGGGCAGAGTGTTTAGTTTCCTAGCTAATGCTGTACCCGGTTTGTTTGCCCTTGAGTAAAATTTGTGTTTGGACCACCGCAGGGCCCTATCAGCGCTCTCATCCAGCAAGAGGTTAGATTATTTATTTTTCATCTAAATATTGTGGGCCTCATTCAAGTTCCTGGAGGGGAGCATATGGATTCTATGGGCTGTACAGACAATTCTTCCATCATTATTCCGTACTGCTTTGGAAGAATGCATATCTGATTAATTGTTTTAGGTTAGCAGTGCATGACTTTGATTTGTCTAATGACTACGTTGAAAGACCAGTGCTTGGTGGGGGATCACATGAAGTGTGACCAAAATGTGTGGTTTAAAGGACATCGATCATAAAAAATGTATATATTTGACCTATTTACATGCGTTTTTAAGTCATTGTGACATGCCTCCAAGAAACCCACATCCTCAACCCCTAAATATTTTTTTAACTGTAATCGTACCTCCCTCTTCTGACCTACCTTTTTTTGGTTTCTCCACCTGGGGTTCCTTGGTATAGGATGCTTTGGTGTTGAGGGGCAATCCTATCCTGGGTTTTTAATTTTATAGAGCTCCATCTTCCTTGATTTCTCTTTTGCAGGCTAAGGCTTTGGATAAAACAAAGGTGGCATCTAAGAAGAAATCTGTTTTTGCAGTCAAACTAAGCTCTAATTATGCAAAACCTTTGTCAAAAATGTATTGACAATCTCTTTAAAGAAAAATCCACTTCAGCTTGCAGTAATCTTCTAGCAACGGTTAAGGAGTTATCTTCTACTTTTCAATCATTCAGATTGATATTTTGAGTGTTTTTAAATCTAATATCAGTACCGCCCCATTGCTCACTCCTGCGAGTGCTGGCCTGGTGGGCCCTGTGGGGTCTGTAGGAGTGTCTGCACAGGAAGAGTTAAGTGAACCAGGTCCCTCCCATAATTTTTCATCAGAGGATTTCAGTACTCAGGATGACATTTCTAGTAATCCAGGTATCTTTAGAGGATGTAGATTACTTACTCTGCCATTTATATCACTTTAAAAATGCATTGTGTTTCGCTATCCAGACACGATCTCATGTATCAGGGATTGCAAGAAAAGAAATTGCAAGTTTTTACTGTACATAAAGGTCTTTCAGATGCAGTTCTTGGATAATGGGCAGAAGAAGCCTCTCAGGTCTACCAATCTCAA